TTTTATTTAATATTATTAGTAAGAAATTTATTTTTCTAGCTTATTAAAACAAATATACATTTTATTTAATTTTAAAATTAACAAATATATATCCGTAAGAGGGCGTTATATGTTTGAATATGTATCATTTTAGGAAACCGGAATGATGATTGGATAGCACTTTTTTTATATTTGGGTATATATATACATATGAAAAACCTAAAAATTAAATTTTTTTTTTAGGTTTCTTTGATGTTTAATGAGTAGGTTTAGAATAGTAAAACAATGGAAATTTTTTAAAGTAAATATTGCTGGCGTTATTTATCAAAATCTCTTCATTTTTGTTTTATACGTGTATATTTACGTGCTAAGCATTATTCTAAAAAATATTTTGAAAATAATTTGATTTGACCGATTGCCGAGTTCAAAACCGACCACTTATTAAGATAAATTGAAAAATGTTGATTTTTGTTTTATGTATCTATAAATACGTATAAAACATAATTCCAAAAAATATTTTAAAAATATCGTGATTTGACCCGAAAACCGACCGAATGACCAAATACTGCATTGCTGGCGTTATCCATGGAAAAATCTTCATTTATGTATTATACGCGTATATATATACGTGCTAAGCATTATCCTAAAAAATATTTTGAAAATAATTTGATTTGACTGATTGCCGAGCTCAAAACCCCACTTACTAAATATTCGATTGATAAAATTTACTAGTAATATGATTCGAAAAATGTTCATTTTTTGTTTTATATATCTATAATTACGAGTAAAACATATACGAGTCGGTTATCCGCCAAACCACGATATTTTTAAAATATTTTTTGGGATTATGTTTTATATGTATTTATAGATATATAAAACAAAAATGAACAATTTTCAAATTATATTACTAGTAAATTTGAATCTAGGAAAATAATTCCCCGGAAAAAAAATCCCGTGACCCGGATCTGCTCTGCAGTATTTAATTAAATAGAAATGTTTTTTAAAGTCAAATTTCTTCGAGGATTTGATATTTTAAATAATAAAACGAAAGTTAAATAAATCTAGTTCACCTTTACACACTTTCATCAACTTTTAGGTATTTATTGAAAAATTATTTTTACACAAATTTTAATCATTTTTTTCGAAATATGATAAAAGGCTTTTCACAGTTTACTGACTCTTAAATAGCGCCCCTTTTTGTTTTTACAAGGATAAGCTATTAAATAATATAATTTTATAAATTTTGTGGCTAAATAGGAAATTAGCAATTCAATCTGATACCCTCTATTTGATAAAAATTATTTTACTGAAGTATTTACCTACTTTAAGAATTTAACTGACTGAATACAGAATCACTATAAAACTTGCAAAATTATATTTTTTACTGCCCAATTTTAATTAAATACTGCCAAAAGTAATGAAAAATGCTGACCACTTTAATCAAAATACATCCAGAGGTGATTATCAGCAGTGAGTATTATATTTTTCTAATCTAACAATTATTATTTTGCTTATGAATTTTTTTCAAAAGTTACAGAAAAGAAATAATTATAATTTTATTAAATGATATATAGAATAATAAATTATATTATTCAAAAGAAACAATTCTAGAACGTATATGTTCTCCAATTGAAGAGAGAAAATTGGGCAAGTCCCTTCTCTCTTCTAAATAATCAATGCATAAATTTTTTAAAATAGTTTGTTTCGTTGCATAAATACGATTTTTTTGGGGAGTGTATGTCCCAATATTCCATTGGCCGATTTTTCCCATATCAACCGCTATTTCCATCCTTATTTTTTCGAATAGTTCCCATATCTTCGGTTTTTTGTTGCCTACAATATGCTTAAATCGGTTATTCCATCCTTCACATACATTGTTTGTTCGATTTTCCCCAGCAATCGTAACATTGAACACATTCCATGTTTCTGGTGGGAACAATGGCTCTACTTGCCTTTGAGAGTTTTTCCCATGTCTCAATTCTCCATTCACATAATTTTTATCAAAATAAAACAATAATTCTTTGTTTTCATCCGATACAATGGTTTTTAAATACTCCATACCTCGTTTGACATCGTGAATAGGTAAAAATGCTAATCCATCGATCATAGCTGCAAATAAGCATAACATTGGATCATTCCGATATGATGATTCTAACCCCAATTCCTGAATCTTTCTATGAGTTGATTGAGTTAGATGATAAAAACATCCTTGGATGTTGATATCTCTACCTAAAAGTTGAAAAAATATAGATTAAAATAATTGTATAGGTTTTATTTAATATTTATGTCTTTATCAATTTTTATTAATTGTACTGTGTGACAAGAAAAATGGGAGAAAAAATAAATAAAAACAAGTTTTGGTGTAGAATTTGACATTGACTTCGAATTCGTTTTCTAAGTTTTCCCTTCACGTCAAGTTTTAAAAATATTATCGTATAAAGGCAACTTTTCGAAATCTCAAAAATGGTAATACGGATATATTTTAAAAAGTATCAAATGAAAATCCCTGAAAATTGGTGACAGTGTTAGATTTATATTTCCTTATAAATTTATTAATTTTATAATTTTTTATCGATTGCTTTTTGAGAAAAATGGTAAAGAATTTCGTTTTGGGGGGTCTTAAGTTTTCAATTTAAATTCCCGGCAAGAATCGTATAAATATGTTGGCGGACTACTGCTGGAGTATATTTTTTGAAAATAAATCATCAACTTCATATTCGCGGAAATATATTTAGATTTACCATTAAATGTTTTTAAATTCGATAAATTTTATGTTATTGTTTAATTTGTTTTAAATTCAATAAATTTATTGTATATTACAAGTTAAATCCTATATAATAATGAAGGAGGGGGTGAGACAACGGACCGATAAAAGGTTTATTAAAAGTAAAATATGAGATAGGTTAGCTTAGCATAATATATTTATTTAAATATGAGAAATGTAACTATTTCATTTAAAATAAATTGTTTGGGAATCGTACCTTGTGCAGTGTAGCGAAGAGAACGAAAGCTACAATAAATATATTAAATGTAAGCTATATTAAAAAAGAATCTAGAAAAATAATTCCCCGGAAAAAAAATCTCCGTTTTTAAGATAATTAAAATTACAAAATTAGGAGAAAAAATTCCCTATAAATAAATCAACGAAATAATAATTCTCAAATAAAATATTTAAAAATTTTGATAAAATTAATTCTGAAGAATTATTAGGATTATGTTTTATACGTATTTATAGATATATAAAACGAAAATCAACATTTTTCAAATTATATTCCTAATAAATTTGGTCAATCGAATATTTAGTGAGTGGTCGGTTTTGAGCTCGGCAATCGGTCAAATCAAATTATTTTCAAAATATTTTTTAGAATAATGCTTAGCACGTAAATATACACGTATAAAACAAAAATGAAGAGATTTTGATAAATAACGCCAGCAATATTTACTTTAAAAAATTTCCATTGTTTTACTATTCTAAACCTACTCATTAAACATCAAAGAAACCTAAAAAATTTTTAATTTTTAGGTTTTTCATATGTATATATATACCCAAATATAAAAAAAGTGCTATCCAATCATCATTCCGGTTTCCTAAAATGATACATATTAAAACATATAACGCCCTCTTGATATATATTTGTTAATTTTTAAAATTGAATAAAATGTATATTTGTTTTAATAAGCTAGAAAAATAAATTTCTTATTAATAATATTAAATAAAAATAAAATTATATACTATATCATTTAATCAGTATTCTTCATTTATAATAAAAAAATGATTTAAATATATTTTAAAAAAGTTTAAAAAATTATCATTAAAAAATTATACGTAATAAATTTTTGATTGATTTATAATTGATAATGATTGATTGCCTTTTAGCAATGCAGTTTAGCAATGCATTAGCAATTCAATGTATAGTGGGGAAATTTTTTCCGGGAAATTATTTTCCAGGGGAATTTTATTCCGGGGATTTTTTTTCCGGGGAATTAATTTCCGGGGATTTATTTTCCGGGAATTTTTTTCCGGGATTTTTTTTACGGGGAATTATTTTCCGGGATTCATAATTAACTATAACAATGAATTTATTTTTATTTATAATATAAATAAAATAATGGAGGAAAAAATGTTTATTACAAATCAACTAAAATACTGGAAAAAAAATGTTTAATGGCAAATAAATCTATTAATATATTGATTAAAGATATATTTACTGAAAATTTTATACAGAACCACTGTTGTATAATTATTTATGTTGGTAAATTAGTAAAATGCCGTTAAAAATACTGGATTTGTCTGTATTACAAATCTTTTGATATTGCCTTTTTACTATATAAATTTAAATATGTTTTTTTTGAAAAATATATGATAATCTGTTGTGTTTTAACTAGTTAATAATAATTATTTTGTTTTGTTCTAGTGATATGTTTTTTTTATATCACCATTTATATTTTTGTTTTCTTTGTTCATTTAGAAGTGATGTGTTTTTCTCATATTATCATTTATATTTTTCTTTGTTCACGTATACCGAGTGTTTTGATTTCATCCTCAAAACTGGTTTGCCAGTTTTCGAGATGACCCAGGACATTAAATTAATATTCTTTTTTTTATAATTGTTTTGAAAAAGGGGTTTATATAAAGACCTCGAAAAATGAATTGTGATCATTTAAATATTTGATTTGTTTCTTTTGCTGTTTATAATATCATACTGTTTAATTACCAATTAAAATAAATATGTTTCATTAATTTCTCGACTTACCCTCGAACACGGACAGTATCTACCCCTGCCCGACGGTGGGACCCGTCTATCCAACTCCAACATAATCATTTTAAAAAAAGTATTTATTATTTTATTGGTTGTGTGGGGTCTTTTATTTGTTTAATTTTTTAGCCTTGTAAAAAAACTGTTGGCATAACAGACATATTTACTATAAACAAACATAGTACTGCTATAAAAATTAAAATATTTGATTAAAGATGCCTGCCTAATTATTAAAAATTTTAAAGAAAGAAAATAATTTTTTACTTGAAAATATTTTTCCTTAAAGTCGAACAAAATGTATTATTTTGTTGGTTTTTCATATTATTTGAATTATCCTTGAAAATTGCTGCGATCTCTGAATCTCGATCTCCTAAAAGACTCCTATCATTGATATTAGCCGAACCTATAAGACAACATTCATCATCCATTATAAGTAATTTACTGTGAACGTAAATTAATTCTGTAACCTTTTTTTTAGAAAAGGTTGATATGTATTATAAATTTTTTGTCATTTTAAAAGATCAGAAATATTTTGATTTAAAATTTATCATTTTATCTCAAGTGTTCTATCTGAATACGAAATATTAAGTAAGAAGATGCATCATAAAACAATTTAAATTCTTCTTATAATGTATGTTCCGTAATGTTTTCTACAAAAGGCCTATTCAAAAAAAATTCGAATAATTCGAATTGAATCGAATAATTACGAATACGAAAATTATTTGTTTTATCCGAATACGAATAATTATTTATTCGATTCGAATTAAACGAATTATTCGAATAAAACGAATTAATCGAATAAAACTAATTATTCGGAATATTTAATAAAGCTTTTATTAAATCTAACGTTTGTCATTTCTATTTGATGACCTTCGAATCTGACAGGTGGTGTTTATAAAAAGACTAGCAAAATTTGAAAAATCTCTGAAGAGAAAATTGAAGCAATATTTAAATTTTTATTTGCCGTTTTAGAATCTGAGAAGTTTATTTTTTGTATCTCATAATAAATTTTATTAAAAAATTACACAAAACAATGGTATATAAAAAAAAATTTAATACATCTTACAATAAATTATGATTAGTAGGCTAATTATGTTAGAGGAGAATTCTGATAAAATAGTTATGCTTGATACTGAAGTTGACAAAATTTCCCACAAAAAGAGCGTATGGGATCAATATCAAATCAATAAAGACCGTGAACAGGATGAATCATTACAAGAGCATTATAATGTAAAGGCAAAACAACATCTCCTCTTATTAATCATATAATAGGTTTGGTTTCATTCACACCTACGGATTACCTATCTATAAAAGGAACATCCACTCTTAGTTGGAACTAATTTGTTGTCAAAAAATCGCATGTCATATAAGGAAGAAAATATAAGAAAAACTCTTTGCCTTAAAAATTGGCTTAGAATTATGAATTAAATTAATAATGTACATTTTAATTTTGTTTTCTGTTTGAAATCAAATTAGCAATAAAAAAATTTGTTAATATATTTGTGTATGATATATTTTCAAGAAAATTCATTTCAATTATTATTGAAATCGAATACAAATAGTAGATTTTATTATTTGTATAAATACGAATAGTAAATTATTCGATTCGTTTAAACGAATCGAATATGAATAATGCGCTATTCGATTCTAATTCGTTTTTGAATAGGCCTGATATGTACTAATTAAAGACTTCTTAAAATATAAAAACATGACATAGTATTGGTAAGGACATGGTGTGCTTCGATTATTTTATTCACCGCAATATGCATATTAGGGGAGACCAGAGTAAAGCGATTGACGGGGCAATAATGCTACCCGAATAACTAACCCTTAAGCATAAAGACATTTTGGTGTGTAGATGTATATGTATATCTAATTTCCTACCTATGTTTACTTTACAAGAACTTTCCCTGGTTTGACATATTTTGCCAAAAAACCGTCTTTTACCCAAAAATTATAAAAATCGCTCTAGTATTTTGCTTTTAGCGACTAAGGCTCAGAATATACATGTTCCTCAAAGTCACAGCTATAAAATAAAATTTATCGGAAGTTTATTGCTTAACTAGAAGTCACGCAACAAAGATTTACACAATATTTATGAACTTGGGGTAAAGCTGCTATGGGTAAAAGGGTTAAAATTCCATCTGATTTAAGCGGTAAAAAGATCATTTTTGAAGATTAACGCCTACATCATATAAAAAGATACTTTTGTGCAAAGGAACATTAATAAATGTTTGTGTTATTTGGAATAAAATTTTATGAATAGTCGCAAAGGGGAAGAATAATTTTAATGTACGATGTTTTTGATATAATTATTTATATTCCGGTATTGTATTAATTAGTTTATACTACAAGTGAAGAATAGCTGTTAATTGCAATATTTTATTCAATTAAACAATATAGTTTTCAATTTTATTTTAACCACTTTACCCCGATGCTTAGCAACTTTAGCCTGGGTATGGTGTAAAATGGCAAAAATGAAACACTTTACATAATTAATCAAAGATCCCTAAAGTATTATAGGTGAAGCGACTGTTTTTTCTTTTGTAAATGAGGGATTTGATTACTTGTAAATATATAATTTGTTCTAATATTTCAAAATATTATGGTAAAAATGCAAAATACCAATCTTTTTACCCCGGTCTCCCCTACTTAAAATCCTACTATAAGATATATGAGTATTTATTTATTTTGTGCGTTAGAGATGCCTAAATTAGCACACGAGAATTATGGGAAAGCCTTCCCTCGTGTGTTAGCACTATTTTTGAAAGGAAGTCACCGTGTTACTCAGATATACTTTAATGATTACTTGTGGTACTAACGCTGCCCTATTTTTTTTAAATCTATATGCCTGCCCACTTAATATCCCTCCTCGTAACATCTAGGGGATTTTAATTTAGAATATTTAAAGACAATCGCTATATCAACCCTTGTTCCGTAGGGAGACATAGTGTTTTTAAAGAATATTTGAGATGAATTTGAATAATATTCAATTATTTTATATTTCATATAATTGACGAATCGACTATTTTTGTTATATCACCTAGGCTATTAAATCGTTTCATAACATGATAAACGTTTTCACAGATTAGAACCCTTCAGATTTAATCTTTTGGGCCGAGCCCGGTCTGAGTTTGTTTATTTTTAAGCCCGAGCCTGGCTTAAAATTTTTCATGCCTGAGCCCGGCATAATTGTTTTAAAAAGAATTTTTTTAGAGTTTAAACTTCTTGAGCCAGATTGCAGGAATATATTACATTATAGTACATATACCTTCGAAAACCCGCTTCAATTATATACTAGAAAATTGAAAAATAGATCAAAGTATATAATAGCATAAATGTTGGCGAAGAAAATATTAAAAAGAACATTAATGGAATACTAAGCAAAACCTAACTCTTCAAATCCTGAGAATCTGCAAGACCTTAATAAATTTAGGGTTAAGTAAAATCACAAATTCGGTTTACACCTTTTTTACAAATCCTTTAATTTACTTTTCGATAAAACCCAGCTATTAATTGATAGGAAGGCAATAAAATTATATAAAGGAAAAATGTATTAAATATAATTGTAAATTCATTTATTTTTTCTTACTCAAGTTTTGCTAACTTTTTATATGAAGTTTTATAGTTTATATAATATATTTAATCTCATTTATAAATTAAAAAAATTTTTGACCCTCTCCCCCTTCTCACACACATTAAATACATCAACACATAAGATATAGTATTGTAAACGAAAGCGTTCATTTTGAACGTGTTCGTGAACGACGTTTTTTTTGAAAAAAATGATGAACGGCGATCATTTTATTTGACGAACGCGTTCGAATTTAACGTTCGTTCCATTTTAAAAACACATTTTATTTTTATTTATTTGAAAATTTAATATTAATTCAAATTTTTTAAGAAAATGTCTCATATTTTTTAATCAGCTGTTTTTCCTTTTCACATTTTTTTTTAAATTAAGGAAAAAATGAATTTGAAAATATTCTTTGAAATTGATTTTTTGAAAAATTTTACTTCCGGTGGAAAATTTGAAGTGAGAACGGTAAATATTATTTTATTTTAATCATATTTATTTACAGATTATATGAACATTATAGTTACTCAAGACTTAAATTGTAAATTGTAACATTGCCAATATGACCCTTCCATAATCAAAACTTACTTAATCGGGCATGGGCTTTTATCTGTCCCTTTTACTTCCCATGGGCGTTACGTATCACGTAATTTTTTAACAAGACATTATTATAGTTTATTAATTTGAATATTATTGTTTATATTTTAATTTAATAGATTAGTGTAAGCATGGATATTAATATTTTATTATCATCCTCTGATTCTGAAAATTTAAAATCAGATGAATTAACATTGCCATGATCTAAATATGATAAATATTTTAGAGTAACATCTTATATCAAAGGAATTCAATACTTATCAAATGTAAAATGTGTCCAAAAAGTTTTATATCAGTTTCAAAATCTTCAAGTTTCAATTTAAAACGACATTTGATTGCAATATTAATTCTTTTATTTATATAATATAACTAAACAAAATCAAATATAAAGAAAAAATGCATTTGAATTAAAAAATTAAAAAATTAGTGGCCAATATGATACCATTGATAGAAGCAGTATTAAATGGGATTAATAAAAGGTATTAAACCTATCAATATCAAATTAATTACATATATTTTTTTTTAAGATTAGACCATATATATGCAGATCAATCTGTCTGTAAACAACCAATATATTTAAAACCCTAGAAATGATAATGCAAGAACTGTTAATTTCGAGATATCCCTTTTTTTGACTAGGATGTAGATAATGGATTGGAGGGGGCTAACTTATCCCAATTATTTGAAGCAAGGGGCAGAACAATAAATGTTTTTAATAAATTCCACGCGTTTTTGGAGAGATGTTTATTAAGTATAATAACGCAATCCCACATTTGCGTAGTGCGTGTGTTTAATATAGTTAATGTCGTATTAACTGCCAAGCGTTTTTGTCTATCAGATGAAAATTTTGAAAAACAATTGTCATTAAAAATTAATAAGAAATTTTTTTTATAAATAAAAATATTATTTATCCGCTATATTATATTGCATTTATAATTATATTATGAAAATAAAACTATATTATTTTTTAACATGGCTAATATAATGTGTTAAATATATAAGACATTTATTTATATTAAATTATATTTTTAAAAAAATTTATCATAATATTTTGAACGAACGTGAACGCGTTCATGAACGCGAAAGCGTTCCTCTCTTTTGAAAGTGGACCATGTTAGATTTTCGATTTTTTTAGAAATGTTTACAGCACTAATAAGATATGAACGTAATATTTAAATATTTGGTCACCAATCTTTACAATCTTAGGGGGACTAAAAATATATTTTTTAAAATTACTTTTTTTTAGTAAAATAAATTTTCAAGGGGCTCTCCAAAATTTTCAGGGGTTCGGGTCCCTGTGTGCCGCCTCCCCTTAGTAACGCTACTGATTCAACCTCTTTAATTATATGAATAAAAAGCTTAGGATAATAACTAAAACCTCTTAAATTTGTTTATAATATTTAATTTGATAAAAAAAGATAAAAAGATATGATTTTTCCATCGGTTCAGGTTGAATTACTGAACCGACTTTAAATACTAAATTCACGGTTTGAACCAAACTGTAGTATAAACCGGTTGACCTTCATTAAGTTACTTATCTATATATTTTTTTTTAAAAAAGCAAAATTTTCCCCAAATATATTTATCTCAAATAAAGAAAAAGTTGAAATATTTTTGAAATTATGTGTTAAGGACTATCCGTTTCATATAACACTATAGAAACAAAAAATAAATTAATTTCGCCTTTTTTATTTATATATAGTCCATTGTTTCATTGTCCCTAAAATAACTAATTTAAGTTATTTGCGATTTTAGTCAAATAATCGTATACACAATTAATATAATTATCTTTTTTTTTTAAATTTCATCGATAGTTTATTTAGCATATATACTATTTATAAAATAACTATAAAAACCATAAAGTTATATCGATTGATAACATCTAATTATAATCAGATGAAATATTAAGGCCCACTATTTTTTGGTTAGATTCCCACGAAAGAAGCAATTATAATTTTACAGATATTTATCTGCATTTTTGTGACAAAGGTAATGAAATTCTCTCTCGGTTCATTTGAAACGTCTTAATTTTATTGCTTAGAATTTTTAAAAAATTTATAAGTTAGGGGAAAATTTTTAATTATAGTTAAAACGATTGGAATGATCATATTATTTGTTAGTTTAAGTATATATATTTTTTAGTTATATCTAACTGATAAATTTTGTCCTCTATGTCCCTCTGGATGATGATGATAATGACTCAAAACTTAGAATTATCATTTATACCTATTTTCTAAAAATATTGGAATAAAAAAGGATATAACCAACTTTATTTAAGACACTTCACCTTGGGGTTGATATTTGAAATTAATTCAAATACTCAAATATTTTACTTTTTTCCCCTTTGATATCTAAATCTTTGGATAAAATTGAGGACTAAATTATTTCATATTCTTCTAAATGATCTATGAGTATTAGGCCAAAATTTTTTTCTTATACTATAATATTTAATAAGTCCATTTGATATGTCTTTTCTAATATATTCTCAGTCCAATTATGACTTTTTAAAAATTTTTACTCGTTTATACCATAAGTCAATTTAAAGTTTAAATAAAAATAAATTACAATTTCATTCTTATACCAGTTTGTCATTTAGTTCTGTGTATTTTCTCAATCCGCAAATACTGATATATTGAAATGGATTTTCAACTATTGTTTTATTTAAAAAATATATAAATGTTTATCAAAAAAAATTTTGATTTGTAATTGAAACTTGACGTCTTCAATCGTTGAATCAAAGATTTATTGCCCATATTAAAAGAGGAATTAGTCCAATAAATAAGAGCTTTTAAAAATGTTCCAGTCTTTTCACCTATTTGTCCTTCAAAACCAGGGAGTAAAGGCATCACAATGTAAACTTTGAATTCATGTTTATCGCTGTACAAAAGGTTTTTTAAATAATAATAAGATAAAATAAAATTTAAAAAAATATACAATATAAAAAAAACAAAGGGCAAATATATTAAACGGTTACCTATGAGCTTTGATAATTCTTTGATAAAGTGCTTCTGCAATCCCATTCAACACCATCAAATTTTTTTGTATCGATATGAAAAATTGGTTCTTAAAATAATTGAATTATATAATTTTTGATAATAATTCCCCCCAATGTAAAAATTCCAACTCACATATATTTTTGAATAAAAAAATGCCAATTTTTAAATTATTTTTTTAGAGGTTTTAAAACACATGTTTATATTAGTTTAAAAGGCTGATAATAAAATAATAAATGCCATATTCCTAATTTAATACTTGAAAACTGAGTTCGAGCCAATAATGTTAGAATGGATTGGAGATAGAAATGAAAAAAAATTGGAAGATAAAATCATAGAAAAGCAGAACTTGCCCCCCCCCAAATGAATGCAAATTTTAAAAAAGTATACTTTGAATTAGAGCTCTGATTTATTTTCATAAGCCCGGCTCGATCCGAAAAAGTTTTGATTTGTTAATAGATTCAATCATATTTTTTTCTAATGGGGTTTACCCATTCAGATTCGAAAATTAAAATTTTAAGTTTATTACGGTTCGCCTATTTTAAATTTTTTTATAAAATAATTTTATTTCATATAAAAACAACACAATTTTAAAAATATGAAAGAGTTTTATTAGGCTTAAAGATGCTTCAAAATATAAAGGTTTCATAAATAAAACAAATAACCAGGGACGAAAACCCTCCTTCTAAAAAAATGGGTTCGGGTTTGGGTTCAGAGAAAAATCTTTGAACCCGGTTCGGGTTCAGGTGGGTTCAGGTTCGGAGACCAGAAAAATAATGACTTATTAAAATTAGTTAAAATAATTGAAACATCATTTTTTTAAAAAAATTTATTTTAATTAGTATCGCCATAAAAATAATTATCATCATAATTATAATATTTTATATATAATGTCGTCGGTCTAGAATTGGAGTGCTCCACTCGACATTTTCAGAATTTTTGAGTTAGAAGTGGATAATAACTTATTTATTCCCAATATATATAAAAATAAAAATTTTATTAAAAAAATATTAATTTTTGCCAAAGTTATTGTCAAAATTGATAAATAAATTTTTCGTATTTGATTTTAAACTTAAATGTTGATTTTCTCATTTTATTTGTGTGAGTGGAGCATTTCAATTCTAGACCGACGATATAATAGTACAATACAATTTAAAAAATTATTAAATATAGCAAAAATAATTACATGAAAAAATGACCCAAAAATGTTTTTTTTAAATTAATATTTTTTTTGAATAAAAAAGAATTGTTTTGAATAAGAACTCTTTTTAGGAAATCTTTTATAAATAAAAATCGTAAATTACATGTTTTTTATATTATATTATTTTTAACATATAATTTAAAATAAATAAAATGAAAGTTTAAAATAAAAAAAATGAATTTTTTAAAATTAAAAAAAAACTTGAACCCTGAACCCTAAATTTTAAAAAAGGGTTCGGGTTTGGGTTCTCGTCCCTGCAAATATCAAGTTGTTACAATAAAAACAGATATAACATTGTTTTATATTTTTGAAAGTAGCAAGTTAAAGTAACGTGTTACTTTATATTTTATATTTATAATTTTGGTTTAAAAGATACATCTTTGGGAAACCTTAAACCATTTTCAAAAATTAAAGCCTTTTTTTATAAAATATAATACTCCCTGCCATCCTCAACATCTATTGCGAAGGTACTCAGTATAGCAAAAGCAGTGGTGCTAAATCTTGTTTATCAGATAAAAAGATAAAAATGAAAAACAATTTCCATTAAAAATTGAAAAAATGTTAGATCTCCCACACTAATGAGGATATGGCCATTACACCCAGTTTTAAAATCATTCCTCATAATGAATACTCTTTAGGGAGATTCCAAATATTGCAATATCTTATACGCAATATTATAAACAAATAAACAACTAATTTATTTATAGGTGTTAATATAATATAATATAATCATAATATTAACCATTTAATCTACCCGTCAAAATTTACCCCCCCCCCCCATATCTTTATAAGCAGTCATCATGCTGTTTCTAAATAAGAACAAAATTAATTTGTCAAATTTTTAATTTTACTTCTATATAGATAAACTTTTTTGATTCCTTAATTATGGAGATATAAGCTTGTTGTATTGAATTTTCGGTGTCCTTTATCCCACCGGACCACGTGGTTAAACTTCGACAAATCTAGTATAATAAATAAATGTTTACAACGACGAAAGAAAGACCGAAAAATAAATTATAAAGCAAACAGATTGATCGAAAGGTAAAGTTCAATCGGCTAGCTACTTGGAAATATTTATATAAAAGAAAAGTTTATTAAATATATATAAATTTATAAAAAACAAATTTTATCGTGCGATTTAACTATGTAACAAAACGGTTCCATGTTTTTATTTATAGAGAAACCATTATAGAGAATGTATTTTATAGAAACATTTATAGAGAAAACATTTATAGAGAATGTATTTATAAAATTGTTGTAGTTTATAGAGAATTTTTTATATAAAGAATGATTTTTATAGAGAATCAATTTATAGAGAATGACTTCTATAATTTATAGAAAATGCCATTTATAGGGAATGCGGTTTATAGAGAATAATTTTATTTAGAATGATTTTAAAGAGAATGATCTTAAAGTCAATGATTTTATAGAGAATATTGTTTATAGAGAAGTACTGTAAAAAGAAGGATTTTAAAGAAAATTACTTATAGAGAAAGATTTTATAGAGGGATTTTAAAGAGAATTAATTTTATAGAGAATTATTTTGTAGATAATTATTTTGCAGAGAATTATTTTTTAGATCATATTTTATAGAGAATGATTTTCTATTGATCTTAGAATAATTATTCGAAAAATTTATGCAGGATTTGAAAATATATCAATATCAACATTATAAAATAAAATTCAGTTAATTTATTGTATTTTTGGATGACTATTTGTTTCAACAATTGTTTTTTTTTGTAAAATCTTCTTAGTCCATATCTAGGTTTTGCTTGATTATTTATTAACTCAGCTTCAAATAAATCTATCAACCAAACCTAAAACGAGTTGTAAAATATGTATTAACCATTATTATTAAGATAATCTAAACCGAATCTAGACCGTTAAAAACTTTGTTACCCAAATCTGTACAAAACCTCTGATAAAATATTTGAACCTCTTGATATCCTAACTCTTATAAGGATCACTAATAATCCGTTTTGATTGATAAGTATCAATAACAATGTTTAAATGATTGCATTTATACTGCCAGCTACCTAAATTAATATAGAATTTAATTTTAGATATAATTTGAGATGAGAATCTTGTAAATTCTAATGCCAATTGCGAAGAGGTTTTAATCAGTTTCTAAATATTGAAACTAGGGAGACCTGAAATTTTTGCGTTCATGTTTGGGTAAAAATGTGTTCCATCCAGTTCGTTCTACCTTTCGGATAAGTCCTTAAAAAATATCTAATTTTAATTCTATTTTATTAATATACAAATTTATTAATCTTTTTAATATAGACAACTAAGCATTCACTATAATGATGCACATTGAGATGTATGCGATGGTTTTAAAATAATTTATGTGTCGAAAAGCGCCGACCTCTATTTTGGGGTTCCACGTCTTTACAGAGAGACAAATATTTTTGATGGTTATTATAAACATTAGTAGCATCATAATTTTGCTCACTTATTATTTAAAAATTTTTTAACCCAAGCCCGCTATTATAAAATTTAATATGGCATTCTTTCAATTTTTTTAAGCATCTATTAAAAAAATATTCAACATTACACCTCTGCAAAAAGTTTTATAATTTAGGAAATTACTATATTAAGCATAAAAAATAATTTAATTTAAATTATGGATGATTTATTAGATCAAATAAAATATTTATGAAAAAAATATAAATATAAAATTGATATTATATGTAATTATAATACGAAAATAATAATGAATCAATATTTCTGGATTCAAATACACTTCTTTGTTCTAAAAACCTTCCAACAATGCTAAATCCTCGTTCAGAAGAAGCACTAGTTGCAGTAATTGCTAATATTTTTCTCGCTAATCTTGATGCTTTGGCATATCTCTTTCTTGCCGTTTCCACCAAAGTAGTTTTAAATATACAAAAAGATTTATTTATTTTAAGAAAAAACTTTTTATGATACCAAAACAGGACATTTTAATTTTTAATATCCAAAAAATTTCATAAGAACAATTTTTTATTAATATTTACTAAATGTTTAAATTATTTTAACCTGCCCGCCCATTGTTTAAATTTCTTAACCCGCCCACCCGCCTATAGTTTAAAATCTTTTTTAACCAGCCCGCCCACCTGCCCGTTCTTAAAAATTTTTTCCCGCTCACCTGCCAGCCCAATGCAGACCTCTATAGGAGACTATATGGTGTAATGTTAATTTTTTGCCATCTACTAGTATCGAACCACAAACCTCCCCTTTCACAAGTGTACACTTTAAGCATGCACCAACTTGAATTATAATTAAATTTAAGATTAATTATATATATTAATTAATAGCTGATATTTTTAAAATTTTCCCGTTTATTACCATATTGAATTGAATTAATTAGCTGATATTTTTAAAATTTTGCCGTATATTACCATATTTCTGCGATATAATAATTTTGAAAATATTTTCCCCAAGCCAGGAGATAATTTTTTCCCAACCCAGGAGATAGGTAAATCTCTAAAAACCATATCTATTTTTTATTCGTTTTAAGGGCATTTTATAGTTTTCATTATGGGATAGACAGGTTAATTATAGTTATTGCCTTAAGGTACTTATCAAATTTATATATTGTTTATTTTTCATTTGGATAGGCACTACCAATTATTTATAATATATATTCAAAAAATCGTGAATTTTGAAAAGCGTCTGTAGCCTCATCTGTAAGAACCTCGCTTGCCAATCCGATGGTTTTGGGTTCGAATCCCAGCAAAGACCATGTTTTTTTAAATCCAATTTGGTGGTCCCGTCTTTTGGGGGTTGATATATAAGATGCTGGACTCGACCACGTGATTCCGTTATAATGTATGTTAAATAATAAGGGTCTTATTATATTTTAATAAATTTTGGTCGGTTTTAGCTAGGTTGGTATTGGTATTTAGAAAATCCTTATACATTGACTTGATAGTATCTATTATTAACCGGCTAGACATTGGCCTGAAAATATTTTTTTGCAGATATAACCTCTTCTGAAAAAAACCAAGTCTCATACAACTTTAAATTTTGCCATTTATTTCTATTGTAATTTAATAACAATTCCTATTTATTTCTAATGTAATTTAATAACAATGACTTAAATTTAATTATATTTAGAATAAGATTTAAATTTGTGATAGAAATCATATTGGGTTTTTAATTTTAAATATGGGCTAGACATTGGCCTGAAAATTTTATTTTGCAGCTGATCAAAAATCAAGGCCCATGTGATTGTATTTTTAAATGAATTATGACTTTTATATATTTTATTTCAGTTCTAACTACCAAAATTATTATGGTCTTTGGTGGGCTTGAGAAAATTTTTCCAACATTATTATGTGCATGAACCTGGCTTAGGAATTTTTTTAATATTAGATATTAGGCATAATATTTAACATAGAATATTTATATGGGTCACAGGTAAAAGCTAATTTAAATAAATTTTTACTCAAAAAATTCACTCTTAGTCTTAATGGGTTGGCCTTAGTAGTAAGATTGAGCGGGATTAAAAAAAATAAAAAATAGATATGGTTTTTAGAGATTTACCTAGCTCCAGGCTTGGGAAAAAAATTTCAAAATTATTATCGGTTGGCCAGGTTTGAGAAAAATTTTTTAAAATTATAATGGATCTGGCTGGGCTTGGAAAATATTTTTATAAATTATATTGAGCTGGGCTTGAGGAAAATTTTTTTTGACTTGGATGTGGAAATTTTATATTATTAACTATGGATCAGACATTGACCTGAAACAAATTTTTTTTGCAAGCCTGGGCTCGGCTTGATCAAAAAACCAAGGCCCAAATCTTATTTTTAATGTATTTTTAAACATTATGATTTTTTTAATATTTTATTCCAGTTCTCAACTACCAAAATTATTATGATCTTTGGTTGGGTTTGGGGAAATTATTTCAAAATTATTATGGCCTTGGACCTTGCTTGGGAATTTTTTTATATTAAATATTAGGCATAGATAATCAGTAATATTTTAACAAATAATATTGATATGGGTATCAAGTAAAAGCTTTAAATATATTTTGACTCAAAACATAGCATTTTCACTTACTTTTAATGGATTGGACCTGGCCTGAAGGGAGGAGGGGTTTATAAAGAATAAAAATTGTATATTATTTTCAAATAACAGGTAAAAACTTTCATAAAAGTAAGGATAAAATTCTTATTCCCCGTCATTTTTGACGGGCTAATCAATGTTGACTAACCGGAGCTCTGGTACTCTTAGTTATTATATTTTCATTTTGCCCATCAAGAAAAACGGGCCATCATACTTTTCTTTTTCTCCCTTATTCGATGATTGATGAATCAGAAATTAAGAATATCTTATGAGATGTGATTCACAAATTTACCTCTTTTTCTCCTAAATTTTAATATTTTCATAAAATATATTAATAAAATATATTTAGTACAATATACACAAACTAACTAATTACCTCTAAACCCCGATATTATTGACGGGTTATTAGCTAGTTATTAATATTAGCTTTTATACTTGAAGGAACATAAATATATCTATCATCCGATATTTTTCCGTTATTTATTTATTTTTCAATTTTTTGTTCAATTCAACATGTGATATTTTATTAGGAAAAAGCAGAATTGTTTACGCTCCTTTTTAGAAGTAGCTAGCTTCCGCTCCCGTTCCTACCTTCTCAAAAGGAGCTAGCTCCCGCTCCCGCTACTACATTTTTAAAAGGAGCTAGCTCCCGCTCCAAGTAATGGAGTGCCACTCAATAACCGCTCCTTTGATTTTCATTTTTTTAGAAGGTACACGAAACAAAATCATATTTTTTTTTCAAAAAGTTATATATATATATATATATTAAATGATCTATCAAAATATTTATAATCTTTTATTAGCCTTTAAAAGAAATAATTTTCTAAATTAGAATCTAACAAACATCCA